GTCAAAAAACAAAACATAAACCAGCTGAATAACATATTTTAAATCAAGGCAAGACTATTAACATAATCTACTCTGCCTTTCGTATAACACAAAGCCCAGAAATCCAAACGCTGTTAGCCCAGTAAGACGTCTTTTGAATGAAACATCTTGTCTAGAATTTAAGACTCAAATGGTTAGTGAATGAATTACATCCCGTTAATTACCCTGCCACTTTTTAAGAATTGCAGTTTCCTTGTTTTTTGTTCAAGGCTCAGCCCTCACATCTTGCCATGCCATCTGCCAAATCTCTGCTAGAAGACCTTGACTTCATACTGTGGCCAAGTCACATTTTAACCCAGTGATGAGGAAAATACAAGGTTCACAAGGGGCTCCACCCCTTCTGCAAGGCTCAATTTTAAAAAACTTCTGACCACTCCTGCTGCTCTTTCTCTGAAGACTTCCTCCTCTCTCCCTTTTACAAATGGGAACAGCACAACTGGACATAACGCAGCTGTCTTCAGATACCCATTAATAAACCCAGAATCAATCTGAGGATTATCGTTACCCACACAGCCACCACAGCACCAAGACTGCTTTCAGCCTCCATTCACATTGTTAGCTGTCTTCCAGAACACTGCTCCTCCTCTCCTGAAAGCGGGAACAACTTTGGCCTTTGCTGAATGAACTTGCCTATAGTGGTATTAAAATGTTACTGAATGAGGATACAAACATCATTCTGGCAGGAGCAATCATGACTAAGAGGAGGGTAAACCTCACAAGTAGTCCAGTTATTTTGCGGAGGTAATTATTTCTAAGAGTTAAGTAAAGAAATATTCTTACAGGCTGTTCTTAACTTTGTTACATACAAGAATAACAATGTTTTGAGAGTCTTATTCTCAGATGCACAAAGACACCTTTTGTTGCAATTGATCTACATCTTAAGTCATCTAAACAATATAAAGAATCTAGCCCTTATGCAGCTTTGAAAGTTTTGCTCCAGATTTTCCTCTTGATTTTTGCTTCTCACGTATTCCCAGTCCAGATTTCTTACTACCATCCTTACTTTAGTGCAAGGCCCATTTTGGCTGAAACAACTATTATACTTTTTAATATGGTTTTATTTTCTACAAACAAGTTCACAGCCAACGAGTGCTAGTATGCCTAATACACATATCAAAAGGTTTCAGACTAACAGTATAGCCAAATGAAAGGACCGAGACATAGCAATGGCTAATTAGCATTAGGAAGTAAAATAGAGCTGCTAAATTTTAAGTAGTACACACAAGATCAGTTGTAATGTATAATCTGATGTTTGCATCAGGTGCTAAGGTCATAGACAAGCCATTAATAACTGCAGACAGTTACTTGGTCATATTCTAATGCAGAACGTGTAATTAAAATACAAAAAAAATGACAGGTCAGGTTAAGAATTGCTATCAAATAACCCTCCTATAATCATGATATCCTTGATAAATCAGGAAGTTACACTTTGACTTAGATATCTTAATGAAAAAAAGTTTAAGTCAAAGCTTGGACTTGGAGTCTAACCCTAACTCTCCTTCCCTCAGTCTTCTGGATTCTGTCCTGTTATTCTGTTCATCATCATCATATGCCAATCATGGAGGTGACTCCAGTCCAATGTCACGTTTGCAGCAAGTGCTCTGCATGGGTTTAGCCTTTTCTTAGGCATAAAGCAAAGTCGGATTTTTTTTTCAAGCAGATTCAGACTCAAAGTCCATTCACCCCACAGTAGTGGCACATGCAATCCTAGTTTTATGAATGCAGCTGAAAACTGGACAATAAAAAGAGATATTGATGCGTTGCATTTGCTACATTCTCAAGTGACTTGGACAATCTGAAGAGCCTTTTCAGAGACACTACAATATTATATAAAAGGTATTAATTCTTGTTTGAATTTTGGAGAAGTTCCATTTTTAGGAAAATCATACCTGGATAAAATAAGCAAACCATAATAATGCACTGCAATGATCTGTGTTTCCCCTAGAAACAAAGAAAGTTACTTATCTGTTAATTTTCATGTACCCCTATTTCTTTTTCAAAATAAGCACAAGAGCATGCAGGAAGAGCAGCAAATGGAAATGATAAAAATAACTTAAGTGCCTTTTACTATAAGGCATGCATATGGCCCTGATAGTACAAACTTATGGACTAGATCCTAGATGGAAAACAGAAAAAAAAAAAAAAAAAAAAAGCTTGAACTGCTATTGAACTGCTATTTACTTCATTGCTTCTTTCACCATCTTGCATTCCATTCTGGCCACACAGCTTCTTTTCTTATATAGAACATTAAGAAGTTTTCCATATACATTTCCCTAGGTGAAAGAGTTACATTCAGCCTGCGCTCCTACATTTAAATACTTGGCACTACAGTGACACTCTTAAAAACTTGAGGAGAAGCATCATCCCTTTATTCAGAGGCTGTGCGATAAGTACTGACAGCAGGGGGAGTGCTTGGCCCGCACAATGCTAGAAAAAGAGCTTGTTTCTCTACCCAGTCTTCCGATTTCTTAAACGAGGCAGCAATTTTACAGATAGCGCTAAAGCAAAGACTGAAGAAGACAGGAGGGAAACGAGGAATGAAATACCACTTCCCATACCACTCCAAGGAAAAAGAGAACTCTGGCTAGAGGATAGGAGTACTTCATATTCACAACAGCAGCACTATTAGGGACACGCTTCTCCATAGCAGCACTGATTGGGATTAGACGTCCGAAAAGGACGAGCATTTGACATCTGGGGAAATCTGAGGAACTACAGTCCCTAATAGCATCAGATTTTCTGCACCTGTCTCACCACTTTCTTCTTTACTGTGCAGGCCAAGCATATATTTCCTAGCACCCAACATGACTGATTCACCTAGGGTATCAGCCCCAAAATCTACTTAAGATTTCAAGTAAAGCACTTATTAGTTGACCAAATCCCAGTTTATGGGACCAAAGGCCCATAAAAATCAGTACATCTTTGCTACTCTATAATAAAGTTAAGTTAGAAGTTTAGAGAGCAGCTGCAATATCCATCAACATCTGGGACCTCAAGGATTCTTTGAGCTCAACAAATTAGAAAGCCATCCAAACTCACGTCCATGCCAATTTATAGCCATATCACAAAATCCCCACAACAAAGGAGATCTTCCTGCAGTGGCTAATCCAAAGAAAACACTTATATGGGCTATCTTTGCAGAAAGGTGCAAGGTTAGATGCTATTCCTAGCATAAGCTTTTCAATATACCAACTCTGAAATTTGCAAAAGTAGTTAAGGGCTGAAAGCTTCTAAACACCACAATAAAATCCAATGATATGCCTATGGTAGTTTTCTGTACTTCAGCATCATTCCTGCAAATGGTCACAAAATCAGCTTCAAATCTCCAAGAGATAACACTGAAGAATTATAGAAGCATTTCCCAGATAACTTAAGAACTCTTCAGAATATTCGGTGCTTATTTTGGACAAATGATCCATTTCACATCATGTATACAAAAAAAGTTTTACTCTAAGAGAGTTCAGATTTTCAGATTCCCTCTTCCTGTTTGCTCTCCAACACAAAAATATGTATGCCAACTAACACAGCTAGTCTCTTCGACAAAGAAAGCCTTTCTAGCAGCTACACTCTAATATGCTGCAAAAGCCCCAAATTTTTCATCATCATTCCTTTTTTAGCATTCATGAAGTATTTACCTTCTTCTACTCAGACTTGGAACCAGACTGTATGAAGTGCTATTGTGAGTCAACATGAAAGTTAAAAATGTGACAAGCAGCTTACAAGATGCACAAACTTGCTACTGCAAACTGTTAAAGTCAGAAAAAAGTGTAACACAAGTATACAAAGAGTCCCCAAAATTTTATTTAAAGAAAGATGTTCAAATGCAGCATTTGCAAACACAGAGAGAGAGAGAGGAGGGGGAGAAAGACTGGAATGCCAATAAAGTTAGAGAAGTTATGTTCAGTTATATCTCCTTTGATAAACTAGCACCATCAAATCACAAGTCACAGACTAAATTATTTCTAGACATGTAAAAAAACTCCACCATTATAAAATTTATCATTCTAGTAATGAAAAACTTTTTCAAACACTTATATTAAAAATTCTCAATCTGCTACTCCTAAAGAAGATGAAAGCAGTTTAAAATACAAGTTTTTGTATCTACTGGGGTTGTTCAAATTACCCATAAAAGATCATTTATTCTTAAATCTATAAATCCCAATCGAGGGGAAAAATGTCTAAAAGTCAGCTTTTCACAGCTCTTCACAAACTAAACAAATACGAAAGATTTACTGTGTGATAAATATACACAGTACAATATGTACAAGTCTGGTCTTACAAAATAAGAGCTTCCTAGTCCATAAAAATGCTAACTGAACTACAAAATTTCTTAAGTGTTTAGTCAAGCTATCTCAAGCAGCCGCTATATCAAATTCCTAAAACATTGATTTGTTCCACAATGCAGCAGCCCGAGAGCGTTCATAATGGGAAAGAATGCAACACTTCACCATAAAACTGATTCATCATCCTAATTTCTTACTCAGATTTAGTGGTAATGTTAGTGTTCACTATCTATCTGTTTTAAAGGTAGTCACAAGACCTCTACATATTTCTAAATTGTGTTTGAACTATTCAAAGTGCTGAAAGTGCAATCAAAGAATAGAGTTTTGTATCTATTTTCCAGGACACCCTTTTCTGGCACAGGCAACAGAAGCCAAATATTTAGAGAACTGTGAGCAAAAAGACATGTATTCATTTGTGCATGCCTAGGTAAAGTATACACAGATACACATATGCTCTTCTTAAAGATCTGTCCTTTAAATACTAAAATGCTTCCCTCTGTGAGGAGAGTTTCAAGAACTCTTTACAAAGGGTTTCATACAGATGTCTGGAATTTATAAATACCTTGATACAGTCACTTAAAATGATTGTGACATGATGTGGGGGGGGTGTTCTTTTTAAGTTCATGGTATACAAGTATTGCTCTGGAATTTAGAGAAATCAAATCTATGCTCTTTCACTTTTTTTTTTTTTTTTTTTAAATCAAGCAACATCCAGGTTACAGTAGCCCACGTGGTTTATCAATTCATTACAGTTAACACAGCATATGTGAGCATACACATATATCTGTAATACTCCCTCAGTTATTTATTTTTCTACTGAAGACCATCTGTGGTTTTTGAATGAAAATAAAATTATCTGAAAACTGTTTCAAGCAATATTCTTTTGTAGTTACACAAAAAGGTACAAGAACTAACCAGCCTGAACTGCCCCTTCACCAGAATAGATACAGAGACTTTCACTGATACACAAGTTAACATTGTTTCCTTTTCACTTCCCTCCCCTACAGCGGTCTCCTACGACATGCATCATAGTAACTAGTGCTATTAAAAACTAAGAACATATCCCTTCTGACAAAGTTAACAAATTTTTCTAGAGGGCACATGGGCTTGCTAGAACGTTTGTAATAATCCTTGCAGAACGAGGTCTGGAATGTGACATCAGCACCATTATAGAGGATGCGTATAAAGTGTTCTTTGGGTCTCTTTCCATCCTGCCACAGCTCAAAGACTAATCTGGCTGCAAATCTTGGAAATCTGGCTTCAGTAATGCCCAAGGCACTAAGAACAGGTGACAACGTGACATCATGTGCAGAATAAAGAACAAATACTTCTTCTTTCTTGCCTTCTGCAATACGCTGCAGCCGGTTAACAGTCTGGTTGAGGAGAGGATGAGTAGCCAATAGTGCATACAAGAAGTAAAGTTTCTTCTCCTGTCTTTCTCTTTCATCCTCTAACTGATGTCTCTTGATTACTTTGAAGTGTTCCATACCAATGCAGCCGGTGTTAGTACATGGAAAACTGACATTATGGCAAAAGTAGCACAAGAGAGAATCTATCGGGTTAGAAGCTCTCAACTGCCTGGTGGGAATGCCTACAATCTTTGCCATATCCACATATATTTTCTCCAAATTGTTGTTCTTCACCCGTAAGCTGTACTGTCGGCGCTGTTCCTCTTCTAGGTAGTGGTTTCGCATTGGGCAGTCACAGCTTCCAGAGCAAAAAATGGTGCTCCACTGATGTCTCATGTTAATTTTCTTCCAGTCAAAATCTGGTAAAAATGTGTAGAGCAGTGCCAGTGCACTCTGCAGGGTTCGACTTTTTCCTGTTGTCTCCAAGTAGAGCTGTTTTGCTGTCCAGTCACTCTGGAGCAGTTTATGTTTGTTTATATAAATTTCTCGTAATAGCTGTCCGTTTCGCAAGTGCTGTACAATCCCTAGAACAGATTTTTAAAATAAGTTATAGCATGTGATTAGAACCTTCTTAGTTTCGGAGAAGAAATAAGAAAATCATAGCTAGCAGTCTTGCTGATAAATGCACAAACTAGTTAAAAAGTTAGGAACTTCAAAGCTGAACCTCACCTATGCTTGGCTATCAGGGAAAATGCATGAAACAAAATACTTTCTCTCAAGTATCTCTCAGATTCTGGGAGTTAAATTAAGATACACAGAGAAAAAGCTGGTTTTGTAAAATTCATTTAAACCTTAGTAGTTTAATGTTTGTTCTTTGGAGTAGAGACAAGCCTCAATAGAAAATCTAATACAACTATAAAAATATAATGGCTATGAGTGTGGATCCAGACCGCACCTGAGTCAAGTTTCCAGAGAGCGGCAGTGAATGCTGGTGCTCCCTGCAAATTTATGGTAGCTGGTAAAAGTACCGGCTCTCGAATGAATACAGAGAGTGTAAACTCACGTGCAAACTCACAAAACAGAGTGGGAAGGTATGAGAATCACATCATCAGATTTCCTTTCCTATCCTCTACTCAAATTGCTTGATAATTCTCACACTAGCCCTCAGCGGGAAAGGAAGAGGGCATGCGTCCTTCTCCCCCGCCAATACCTTTACTTCAGAATCAATATTCCTTATATTATCCTCCTACAGCAGCCAAATAACAGGCATGAACCCTGTGTGCATCAGCACATTTGTATACCTTGTTATAGACAACAAGTCCCAAATACTAGCTCAATTACAAGCTGTGTGCAACAACGAATTCAATTTCCCACGCAAGGTTCCTTGGTAAGCTGACTCCATTTCTCCTGAGGTGACTCTGCAAGGCTTGCAGTCACTTGCCTAATGCAAGTCATCCTTCGGATGAGTGTCCAGAAGGTATGATGATTTGACAGGCAATTTATGGATTCACAAATACAGAAGGAAATTCTCAGAAACAGTTGGCAAGACAGAAGTGGCACTAACCCCCAAATTTACATGTTCTTAACTCTCTCTAGGCAGTCTCCAAATCTATTGACTATCCAGACACATTGCAACGTGCTCCTTTAGTCACTGATATTTAGGAAAAGGATAACATACCACTAAAAGTGATTGCCTGCAGTGTGGGAAAAAAATAGAATAGATCGTTAAAATTTGAAAAGGCACAGGAAAACAGAAGGGTGCCATGAATGTGAATTTTCAAATGAAATTAATATCGAAAAGAAAAATCTACATGTGACCAACCTTTTTCACAATGCACATAACAGCTGTGCAACAGCTATGTTTCCCCATAGTTATGGATAGGTAGGTACTCATGTGTTTTTTATTTTTGAAACACCAATATGAATACACGCAGAAAAGGAACGGCAGCAAACAAGTACACTGACTTAAGTTCACATCAGTTCAGCTAGTATTCTGAGGCAGAAAATACAAACTATTCTATGAACTGTGGAATCAGTGAAAAGCTCTTTCTTACAAGTTTGCAACTTGTTTCTATGTTTCTCTCCTCTTACTCTTTGTTCATATTTACTATCCCCTGTTGCCAACAGTCCAGATCCTTTCCAAATGGCCCTTTCATCACTCTTTGGACCCAACACCACCACCAGCTTCCCTCTCTAATCCCAAGCCCTTCAGCTCCTTCAGATACTCCCAATGACCCCAGCAACACAATACTCCCAGCTCTCCACATTCTTTCTTCTACATACCCATATTCCCCGCTGCAACATTTCCAGTTGCCACCCATCTTCCCGACCTATTTAGTATGGATAAACTAAAGCATATGTTCACTAGGAGAGTTCAGCAGCCTTTCTCTTAGGGATAGAATTACCAAAGTGTCTCTTCTACACTCTTTTTTTTTTTTTTTTTAAAGATATTGTTTGGAATTTAAGTGCTGGTATTTCCACCTTTTCTCCCAATACCTAAGCTCAACAGAACTGACACAGAATATACGAATAAGCTTCATTTCCTTGTGGTAAAAATACACATAAATAAACACACTAGAAAATAGGAATCCAACACCTTTCAGCATAGCTTTTTTTAATACTCTTGACACTTTGTAAAGCTTAAAACAAAACAAAGTGGGAGGGAAAAAAGCACTACATATTTAAAAGAGCTTTTCTACTTCCATAATACAAGCATCAAACTCATCTGTTACACCTGGATCTCTTGCACTAAACACACTACTTATACTGCAGGTGAAAACTGGCAATTAAGTGACCGTTCTTTGGTACCAGGGCTGTTCTGAGTTTCAAATCAGTAAGTAACAGAATATGAAGTCTTCCTCAGGAGGGAATGAGCAATGTCATTTTCTGAGGAGGAGGGACAAAGCAGTTTCATGGTGTGGTGCTGTAACTTGTTAAAAATAAAGTTGAGAGAGATGTCAAAAGTAATCGATCTATAAGAGAATGCAGGCAGGCTGTAGAATAAAGTACAGTTACCTAGAACTGTTACCACTTTTGTGGCATACAGCATTTCTTATATTATTCATATTCCTGTATGACCTAAGCTACGACCAACATTATAAGCTTACATAAAATTCAATACATAGATATACATACACACACATTTTTATATAGAGAGAAATAGAAGATCCCTTTTCAAGCAGGCTATACTTAATAGAGTAGAGGAGAAGATAGATAAATTTGCTACAGAAACTTACCTGTCTGTGTAAGCTCTCCCATTTCACACAAAGAATGACTAGGGTACCGAGGCAGGCTGCCTAGGGTACCATCCATTTGGGCTGCAGACCCTTTGGACATATGCTTAATGAAAGCTTCAAGCTGGGGATGAGAAGGTTTCCTAGAGAGGTAAACAACAAAAATGTGAAAACTTCCAAAAGTATATGGGAAAACAGCTCAAGAAAATCAAGTATTCTAAGTATGTCAGCTCAAAAAATTTCATGGCGAAAGGTTATCTCCCACCAACACAGCATCTGCTCTTACTCAGGACTTTTGCAAGCACGCAAAAGAATTCTAACTACTTAGTTGCCATCTCTAGCAAAGAGCTACAGGGAGACTAAAGGATATTTGTGGGATGTGTTGGCATGTGAAAGCTGCGATCCTTTTGGTAAGCACTTTGGAAAAATATTTGCTTGCAGTTAACGCCTTTTTTTAAAAAAAATTTTGTGTAATTTTAAATCCCTGTAAAAATGACTTTTTCCAGTTTCTGAAATACTACTGCGCTTCAGCAACATGACCAATGACACCAACAATCTAAAGGGGTTAAAGTAACCAATACTAGAAGTAGAAGATATTGGGGAAATCTCAAGTTTTGTAATATAAAATGCTGACTGCAATCTCAAACTTTATTTCAAATTTCTTCAGGCTTCAAATCAAATAGCACATGTAACCTCAGTTAAGTAGTACCTGCAAAGCAGTGTCCAGTGGCCTAATGAAAGCTGCAGCCCATAGTTTTGGGTACTGCACTATAGCTAGGAAGAAAGAGTCCTATGCTGCCCCACACTTATCATGGATGAAACCAAATTATGTGGCATCTTAGGTTAAGAAAAAAATATAAATGACACAATTAATATACCATCTATGAAAGCTCTACACTTAAGAAAACATCAAAGACTAGAAAAATATTATACACAGTGGTGTATCTGAGTGAACATCCACACAAATTGTCCATTTTATTCAACCTTGCTCAATATTCCATGTTTCAAAAGAAGCACCTAGAATAGCCCACATGATTAGCGTCTAGCAAAGACACTCAAAGCCCTGACTGCAGGTGTGAATACCACTTCACTAGTGACAATAAAACCTTTCAATTCAAAGTTAGCTGCAAGGCACTGCACCAAGCTCTACCTAAACTTTTAGCACCTTTCCTATAAAGTCAGTACTATCTCTGAGCAAAGCACAGTTTAGGCAGAACCACCCTTCTGCAGTCTTATCGTGTAAGAGACTTGCATTTTAGCCTTGTTTCACAAATACAGTATTTATTACAAGAAAGCTATGAGAAAAAAAAATATTTGCCACTTTAAAACTGCTTCCTTGTCACCGTAATAAGAGATACAGAGCTTCTAATTCTGGAGTAGTTGCGTTCTTTGCTCATGTGAGAACACACAGTCCCAATAAGCCTCTGGACCTTTCAAAATGCCCTGAGCAACAAGACAGGTAACGATCCAAATGCTCTTGGCAGCGGAACGCAGCAACGTAGTCACTAGATTTTGCCCCTTTTTGCTCATGTACAGATAATTATTACAGAAAGCTGGCTAGCCCAGGCCAGGCTGATGGACACTGGGAGAAAAGGACTATTGAAGAGCTGCTGCTTAATCTTTCCCCGAGAAAGCCATCTCTTTCTGTACTTAAGTTTATTGATTCTAAAGCAGATGCAATAATAGTATTATGGATATATTCTCAGCCAGTTACAAGTCATGAACACAACTGGAAAAAGATGCAATCAAAGGAGTCTAGGTTAACTCAGTCAAACTGAATTTAAGTCAGTGAAAGAATACTTGCATTTCTTAAACTGTTCTGCAAATTTCAAATACAAATGGACTTAGCCCACCGTTTTATTGGTATGCTGAAAATTACAGAAACAGAAGTCCACAAACAATGGAATACAAAGGAATTTAAACCTTAAAAATCTGTGCTCACACTTCCACAATCAGACTTATATAGTACTTATATAATACTTTAAATAATACTTTATTTGTTAACACTTCCATTTGATAAATGCTTTGAAAACCATCACCCCACTACTTAAGTTCCTAGATATCACTGCATATAAAATGCACTTTAAGGCTTTCTTTTTCTGCCCCATTTGATTCAACACTGCTTCATTTCTTCTTTGCCCCTCTTCTGTGAGGAAGTGTTCTTTGCTATTATTTACACAAAAGCACAAACACAGTCACATCTACTTTTTTGGAAGTAGAGCTGTTCAGCAATCCTGCTCTGTCAGATAGTAATCATCTTAATAGGACTTTCAGCCTGAACACAGTAGTCTATTTTTTGATGCTGATCATAAAAAAACCCAACAACAAAACAAAACACTATTCAAAAAGATTTTATGGAGATAAAGTTGGTCAGAGAAGATTCACAGAATAGTCTATATTGTTTATTTAATGTTCATGTTTAATGCTTGCCAAAAGAACATACTGTTTTGGCACCAAAACCTCAGGTCTTTTATACCAAAAAAAAAAAAAATTTACTTCCCAAATTACAAGAACCACAAGAGGGAGCCACAACACAGCTAAAGTATGAATTTAAGTCTGGAATCAATTTTCCCTAGGACAAAGACCCTTATACTTACATAGGGGAGCCAACAGAGAGGCTCTTTGAAATAAGAAAGCCCCTGTCTCAAAGCTGTGCTCACAGCATGCAGGCATAGTAGGTCTCATATGACATTAGCCCCCTCCTTTGATAGAAAGCTAGTTTTTTGGAATTGCATTGTTATATTTTCTAAAACCTGTTTTTGCCAGTATTTAATTTACCTTCAGGAAAAAATTCTTAGGAGGAAAATATTACTATAAACTATAGTACAAATGCCAGCAAGAAAAATGCTAGACAGCAGCAAAATGAGAGAAAAATATTCAAATCTTTTTTTCATTTTTACTTCAAACCGAAAGGAAAACCAGCCAATTTATGGTATCTTAAATCCATAGTTTCTTCCATATATAATAATTTTAACAACTCAAAGAGAGATTAATATTTGAGAAGCAAAGGCATGTAAATGGCTTTTTCCTATCTAGATCAGTTAAGGCTTCCTGTTCCTTTGAGAGCCTAATCCAGCTCCAGAACTTCTTGTAGATTTTTGTATTTTCCATAGCCCAGCAGTACAATCTAAAATGAAAGATTTAAGTTAAGGGAATTAAATGAACGGTGTTTACAAATAGCTTTTAAGCTTGTTACAGATGTAGCAGTCTGAACTACCAATTTTCTAAACTTCACACTAATTCTTAATAGATTGTAAATCATAATTTTCCTTAAATCATGTTTACATCATTAGCAAGTTTTGCAAATACAACATACAAAAACACTAGGAAAGAACTGCGCTATCCATTCTGCTTGCTCTGCCGCTTTGGTTACAAAACCTGAATTCTAATGGAACCAAACTTGCGCTGATGAAACTACCAGCAATCCCGAGTGGGAAGGAAAGAAGGAAGAAAAGCACCTGTCAGGTAGTACTATTAGAACTGGTCGAGTACAATGTAAAAAGATACATCTAAAAAATGGCAGACAAGGCAAGCTAATATGCAGGACGTGATAAAACTTGCACTCCAATGTGTTAATATAGTTTTTCATATGTCGATATAGATGTCAATTATTTAACTTTTCATTAAATGGTTTTTAAAGTGATCACAAGTTAAGCATGTGCCCACAGAAGCGAACAATGAACCACGACTCCATTGGACACATTTCTGAACATGAATTTCAGACCTTTAATTGAAAGCTTACTACTTTTTGAGTGTATTTTGGGAAGAAGAGAGAGGAGGGGGGGGGGGGAAAAAAAAAAAATCAAACAACGGAAGTGAGAGCTATTCTGCCTAAAGGGGACAGACATCTCAGACTACAATATACTTATATCCTTAATGTAAACCTGGTGTATGTAACAAAAATGTATGTATGTAGCAAATGCATTGTATGTAGCAATTCTCCTGCTTAACCCCATACTCATTAACAAAACAGAAATTTTGTTATTGAACAAAAATAGTTTTTACAGCACCATTTAGGCTATTATCTCACAAATTATTATACCCCTCCCCCAGGATTTTTTTTTTATTTACTTATATTACAAATCCTCCTGTTGAATTGGCCAATTTACAGATGCCGCAGGAGATGGAGTATCTAAGCAACACAGCTAAGACTGCTGGGACTGTCCGAGCAGGAAGCAAAGAAAATTACTCAGTTGTATAGGTGAAAAGACTGAAATATCCTCAAAATTTTGTTTCCATAAAAGTAACCAGAAAATAAAAATGGACTTAAAAGATATTTACTCTGTAATTTGTTTGACATTGTGACAGTAAGCTACAGTATTTGGGAAATTTGTTGATATAATAAATATTTCAAATTCTATCAGTAAGCAAAAAGGCTCATTACCACTGATAGACTTTTTTTTTTTTTTTAACTGATCTTGAACATTCATTTCCCTTTTTTAGGGTCTGTCAATTTGCACGTTCATTACTTTTATTATGGTAAAATAATGTGCATCTAACAAACTTGAGGACACTTCCCCCCAATAATAAATTCAACTTGACTTTTTTCTTTAAGAACTCAACATAGGATAATAGATCCCAAATTTAATAATGCAGTTTTCGTGCACTAGCATCAAAAGGGATCAACATTTAAGTGTCTTATTTGGAAAAGTTTTAACAAGCTTTAATACTGAAAAATGACATTGTCTCTTCATTGCTACACTGTAATCAGTGTAGCATGGAAAGAAATTCTGCACAACTATTTGAACCATATGCCTATTTCTGCCAACAACTGAGCTGACATCCTTTAACAACATTTTCCTTTTTCTTCTTCCTTGAGGAATTTAGATATAAAAGCCTAGAGGTATTTCACTTTTTGATGAGAAGTGAACACTAACTTGATGGTTGTTCTGAATTAGCACAGAAAAGTGAGAAATACAGTATTAGAGTAAGAATATGCACATGACACCTCAGAATATCTGCTACTACATTTTAGGTATTTATTGCATTATTACATATGTACAAACATAAGAAATACAACTCATGCAGCTCTCAACATTAAGTTCATACATATGATACAGCAAGACCTCATTTCTTGAGTAACAGCACAGAAACTTTGTTACACAGGAGTGTGTGCGTGTAAAGAGTGCGTGTAAAGAGTGCA